CTTGAGCACAGCGTGCCTTGCTGGTGGGCTTTGTTGAATTTCCCCGTTGCTTGTGAACGTGTTACAGCAACAGTGCTTGCAGCCTTCTACAAACATAATGGGAATGGGAGGGGCTCTCTGTGCCCCGGTGCTGGGCAGTGTGACCGCAGTCCTGGGCAGTATCTGGGGCATCGGAGCCTTTGAAAGCCACTCCTGAGCGCTGAGCCACCCTGCTGCATCCACACCCCAACTCCAGCTTGGGCTGATCCTTCCCAATTACAGCTTCCCCGTGACCTGCCCTATTGCCTCATTCAGCTCCTCGCTGTGCCTGGCTTTGAAGGAAGTGGAGCGATTAGATCAGAACATAAGGCTTGCCAAAGAAAGTATTTACAGGCTCCTTGTTGCTCCTGGAACAGAAGATGAGGGATGTCGCAACGAGACAGGGCGACACGCGGTGACTCAGCTCACACCCTGAGATGTGCCAGGGCAGCGGGGCTGGAGCAGGGGACAGAAGATAACAGCGGTGACAGCCCTGTCCCCTTCACCCTGACGGAGAGCTGACAGTCCTCGTTTGTGGGTGTCCCCTCTGGTGACTCCGCCACACTCATCACGGATGAGGACTGACCCCGTGGAGCACACAGCCCTGCTCCCCCCTCCCCACACATTGTTGCTTACCACCACATTCCTGTGCCTGCTTGTCCCCAAGCTGATGGCCTCGATGCAGCAGCAGCATCGTTTCAGTTTCATGCCAGGCTGCACATCCTGAGCCCTGAGATGGGCCCTGGGCTGCTTGGCTGGGGGCTGAGGTCTGTGCTGGACACAGCTGTGCTCAGCATCTCCCCAGGAACTTTGTTAGCTTCCAGGAACCAAACCAGCCACGTCTCAGCGCTCACCTGGCACCTGCAGAGTGGGAGCTGCCAGCACCGCTGCCCTGGGTGACCACAGACTGTGAGCACTGGGTCAAACAGATCTGACTTCTGCTGACTTCACTTCCCCTTGTCCTGCTCTCTTCCAGCTCATCAGCTTTGCTGCAGCACTGGCTGGTGCAATTCAGTGCCTGTGTTTGTTACTCCTGAGCACCACCTCCAAGGAGGAGATGCCAGTGCCAGATGCAAGTGCCACTGCATTCCTCATCTGCTGAAGAACATCTCCGTGCAGTGGCACTCGCTGCTGGTCCTCGAAATGAGCACCAGACCCTGGAGAGCCCCTGGAGATAGCAGGACACGAGCCCAGCTCTCACATGGCCCTCGTGCCAGGGGCACACAGGATCCTAAACCCCTTGCCCAACCACTGTGATCTTAGCAGCACTGGAAATGTGTGCATGCACACAGATACCCAAATCCTCGCTGGCCACAGGCAGGTGGGCCTGGCTCTGGGCTCAGCTCCCTACACCACACAGGATCTCATGCTGAGGATATGGGATGCCAGGCTGCAAAATGGGTCCAAGAGCCCTCAGCAGGCTCAGCTACCCCTGCCAGAAGGAATACACAAAATAGAGAAACCTGCAGGGAGAAGTGAAAAACAAATTCTTGCAAATGATGGTGGGTATCTCCTAGCCAGTGTGCAGCGTGTCAGCAACCACTGAGGTTCCAATGCATTGCTGTGGTGAGAGAGCCTGCTGGGGATGGCCTGGCAGCAAGATGAGCTCACCAAACACAAAGTTAAAATAATCCAAACAAAATCCTTCCGAAACAGCAGTTTCTTTCACAAACAGGAAAAGCAGCAAGATGCAAAGCCCCCGGCAAGCTGAAAAACCACATTCATGCAGATGAAAAGTATTTTGAGTGCTATTTGGTTACCGCACCAAACTGAAAGCTGGTGTTTGCAAAGCTGCCAGAAGGAAGGAGAGGGCTGGGAGCCCTGTGCAGCACGCAGGGATGGGAGTGCTGTCAGTGGGGTTACGGTGGATTAGCAGCATGGCTTGGTTTGTAAAGCAAATGCTCAGCAGTTAGGAGGTAAGGGTAGCAATGAGTGGGCAGGGGCTGTGCCAGAGCTGTGCCCAGGAAGGGTGGCAGTGGGATGCAGTGCAGGCAGGCAGGGCCAGAGCCCGGGGGTATTGGTTGTTTTCAGTATGACACTGCATTAAGGTAGGCTTTGCTGTGATGCCAGATTGGAGGCTCTTGAAATCTTCAAGGATTCTCTTTTTCCTCCCACCCTTTCCCACCACTTTCCTCACGGTTTCTCTTGGCTTTATGGACTTTGACTTGGTGAAGCACTCTGTGTTTTGGTTTGCCAGATATTCTCTTCCTAAATTGAATGTCATCAGGTGCTCATGTGAATTGAGCAGAGCTGCACCTGCAGCCATGTCAGGGTGCTGTGCTCCCAGAGCAAGGTAAGAGTTGTTTTGTAGAAGCACTGGAAAGCACTGTCACAGAGGATGCTTTTGCAAAGACCAAGAGAAAGAAGCAGAGGATCAGTAGAAGTCAGCTGTGCAGGCGGTGCTGAGCGATGCAGCTGACACTGCAGGTACCTCTTTTCTGTGCTCTGTAACCACATCTGTTCCATCTTTCCACAGTCAGCATCTGGAACCTGCCCTCAAAAGCAAAGACAAGTGTGGGGGAGAGCATCATTGCATAGGGGACAGATAGAACTTCTCAGGAGCTGCTTGCCTGGCTCTTCTGATAATGGCATGAAGGCAATTAGATAGGAGGTTTTAATTTAAAAGAACAACAGAAAACCTTCATCCCAGGAGGTTGCCTCTTCCATCCGGCAGGCTCAAGGATCTCTAAAACTGAATGCAGTGGTGTGAGATTCTCATTTCATGGTACTTTCCATCCCATGATAGCATTACAATATGATATGTCCCGGATGAGGACACAGGGTTGGGATGGTGGCACACGGCTCCTGTGGGTGTTTGGATGAGCAGGACGGGGCTGGAGGAAGAGGAGGAGCAGTGGTTAGATTAGTGGTTCTTCTGGAAGGGTTCCGCAGCCCTCCAACCATCCCTCCATTTCTCCTTCATCCATTTCTCCTTCCATCCTTCCCCATCCATTTCTCCATCCCTTCAACCCTCTTCACCCACTTCTCCATCTCTTTATCCATCCATCCATTTCTTCCTCCTTCCCTCACTCCCCACTTCATCCACAACTCCTAACCCTCACCCCTAACTGCTAACCCTGACTCCTATCCCCTAACCCTGACCTCCAAACCCTAACTCTGACTCCTAACACCTAAAACTGACCCCAGTCCCAAAAAAAAAGCAGGTTACTTAGCGATTATGACTTGGAGCTGGAAAGCAAAGGGAAGTTTAGGTAAATTTTGGGGTTGGAAGTACTTGATTTGGGGTCGGAGATGAAAAGCACAAGATGCAATGAAATGGTGGATGGATTTTGGGGTTGGAAATGTCAGATTCGGAGTAGGGAGTGTACAGCAAGAAAAGATTTCATGGATTTTGGGGTTGGACATGCCAGATTATGGGCTGGAGGTGGAAAGCAAGGGAGAGGCTAGATGGATTCTAGGGCTGGAAATGCCTGATTTGGGGTCAGAGATGAAAAGCAAGAGGTAAAAGGGAAGAGTGCACAGATTTGGGGGTTGGAAATGCCAGATTTGGAATTGGAGATAAAAAGTAGGAGGTAAGGGGGAAGGGTGCAAGAATTTAGGGGTTGGAAATGTCAGATTTGGAATTGAAAGTGGAAAGCAAGGAAAGGTTAGATGGATTTGGGGGTTGAAAAATCCTGGTTTGAGGTCAGAGATGAAAATAAAGAGGTAAAAGGGAACAGTGCACAGATTTTTGGGTTGGAAATGCCAGATTTGGATCTGGAGAGGCAAAGGAAATGATGCAGTGAAAGGGTGGGTGGATTTGGAGACTGGAAATGCAAACTTTGGGGGCTGGAGATAGAAGCTGGGAGAGGGGAGAAGGTGGGGAAGGAGGATCCTTGGGAATACAGTTGGAAAGGAATGGCCCAAACCAGTAACTTTGGCCCACGGGAACACACCGTGACATGGAACAAACCAGCCCTGGAGAGAACAGGGCCACAAAGTGCCATCTCCTCAGCTGAGCAGAGAGGACTCTGAAATGGTTTGGAGCTGGGACAGTTCCCATGAGAACTTCTGTTACCCCACTGACATTTCAGCAAAGGGAAGGGGCCATCCTTCTGTCCCGCTTTACCTCATTATTTCTCTTTCCAACTTAAACAGAGCATCCAACTGAGGGGTTTGGGACCCCACCCTGCTCCACTGAACCCCATCAATCCTCATAGGCGGGCAATGGACTCCACTGGCCCATTTTACTCTATAGAACACACTCCCTCTTGTAAGAAGGGGACCTATATGGCAAGAACCCATCTCATCCCACATCTCAATAAAAGGGGACAATGCTCCACCATACCTAAGATCCATTCTGCACCGCAGACCCCATCAACTCCCCCCAAATGGACAGGGGATCCGAGCATCCAGCACTCCCTGTGCCAGAGCCACAGAACTGAACCTCCTCCAAAGGTTCTGGGTGGAGTGGCTCAGTCCAATGGGATGTGGGTTTGGTACCCCCAGGACCACCCCCACTGGTTCCCATGGAGGGGGCAAGTAGAAGGAATCCGAGGTAAGGAGAATGAAAGCAATCTGTCACTTGAAAAATCAGAGGCTGTGGGACACGCTGCTTGTGTAACTCCTCCACACAGCTACAACAATCATAGAATCATGCAATATCCTGAGTTGGAAGGGATCCACAAGGATCAAGTCCAACCCCTGGCTCCACAAAGGGCCACTCAAACACAGCGGTCCTTCAGCTTCCCCCGCCCAGCAGTGGGGGGGGGGCATGGTTGGCCCTTCTGCAGGTTCAGATTCAAGTTGCCACCAACTGGACTGCCCAGATCCCTTTTTGCAGGGCTGCACTCCAGCCCTTCACCCCCCATTCTGTACATACAGCCAGGGCTGCCCCATCCCAGCTGCAGAACTCAGCACCTGTTCTTCTTAGTGCATATGGTGACCACCCTCAAACTTGTCCAGATTTCAGTGCAAGGTGTCTCTACCCTCAGAGGACCCAACACTCCTCCCAGCTTAGCATCATCCACAAATTTACTTCGTACAACTTCCAGATCTTTATTAGAATCAACAGGAAAAACATTAAAGAGAACCAGACCTAAAATGGAGCCCCACAGAATCCCTCTGCTGACAAGTAGGGCAACTCTCAGGCCATAGCCTCCCCTTGCCCAACACAGCCATGTTTTGGTCATCACAGGACATTTTTAGGGTCACATCACCATGGCTTTACAATGTCACGAGCCATCTCCATGCTGACTGCTATAAATTCAGGGACCCTGACAACAGAACACCAGTTGCTGACTGACTTACGTCTGGAAAGCACACATTTGAGGAGCTCCCTACCCAGACCCTTCCCTCCCATTCTGGAAACTTTTGTGGACAATTGATCCTCCTCCACCAAAGCAGCTTTGGCTTCTAGAAATGAGAATCTCTCTTCTTTCCTTTCAGCACCGCCTCAACAGTGACGTGGAACCTCTGGGCTGAATGGCTCTGTGGCCGTTGCCTTAGTCTAATGAGCTGGACAAAGAGACAGTGCTGAGGTAGGTTTGAGAGGTACTTCTGTAAAAGGCAGCTGTGGAGACGTAGGACTGGCACCACTGACAGAAGAGTAGCCTGAGCTCCCTTCCCAGCTGGGATTTTTTGAGGCTGAAAAAACTCTGCGAGTTTCATCTGGTGTCCTGGCCTTCCTCAGTGGTGCTGTGTGCCCAGGACACTCCACAGATAGGCTGTCCTCATCACTGGAGTCCTGACAGCAGTGCTCCGCTGGATCCATGTAAACCACTGTCACATCCAAGATTCCACTGGGACTTGTGACTGAGGGATGAGAAAAGAAAAAGGCCAGTTAGAATTTGGGCAACACCAAGCTAACAGTCAAGCAGAGAAAAAAGTGCAACTGTAAACCTTGTCGAGAGGGGAGGGTAAGGGTAGAGTTTACCCTCATAAAAGTAATTTAATACCTGTTTGGAAAGGTACTGTCTAGCAACTACTTGGAAAATGAAAGGCCAGAGCCTGTGTGTCAATAAAACAAACAGCTGACAGTGTTCCAACACTGGCTACAATGCAATCCAATTCATCAAGTTTGGCCTACTGCTGTAGCAGTATCTAAAAACACTGTCTTTGAAATGCTGAGTGGCTATAAAATCCTTCATTATGTTCTGAAGCAGTACAGAGAAGAAACATTTACCCCTTAAAGAGTTTAACAATTATAATTGCTGGGGGAGGAAGAGAGTTTCCCCAGCTGCCCTTCTCCTGAAAGTTCAAGCTTATCTCCCAGTAAAGAGTTTTATGCAAAGATAAAAAGGCAGATTTTGAGTTCTCTCATCTGTTTTTTTATAAGACTAAAAGCCTTACCATCTTCATCTCTCTCACCTTCACTTTCCTGCTCACCTTCATAACCAGAGCAGGAATCTAAACTCCAGTCCAGAAAGCTGTCCAGAAGACTTTCTTCCTGGGCTCAGCTGTAGGTGTAGTCACTAAGCTGCTCCTATCATCCTGAGTGCTGTCTTCCCTCCTCCTGTAGCAAGAACATCCAGAAGTAACACATTAAAAGTCAAGTCTGCTCCTCCAGCTCTTCTAATAGAGATGTCAGCCAAGGTAACGACAGAAAGGATGGAAGCTCAGGATGCCAGAGAGGAGGAAAGGCTCATGCAGGTCTTCACAGACCTTTACAGCCATGAGTTCTACTCATCTTTTAGATCTCTTTCCAGAGGGAGAGCTAAAGAAAACTTTAATTTCTATGACATTTGTGTGCAGGGGACTAGGCTTCAGGTCCTCCTGCTTCACACCCAGCAGTGAACAGAGCTGGCTGTAGCTCATCACCTGAAAAACAAAGTAGTAAGAACTGGACGGTGTGATTTCCTCTGCCAGGAAGCAGCTATTTTATCCTTATTTATCTTTTTTTCTTTCCAAGAGAAAGCTATCCTGTTGAGTCCTTCCTAGAACTGCTGTTCAACCACAGCAGTTAGAGTCCCAGCAGACGAAATTTAGAAGCCCCCAACCTTACCCAGTTATTCTCTACTTCCAAAACCTGAAATTAAAACCCACTTCCCTTTATTGGAAGTCTTGAACACCCTGCCATACAGTAGCTTTTGCTCAAGGAGTCAGATTTTAACAAATGAACTAAAACAGCAAACCCACCTTTTCTTGGCCTATTTCGTCATAACGCTCATCTTCAGATTGTCTTTAACTGCAGTGAGACAACACCTGCCTATAATCCTTAGGGATCTCATCATGGAAACTGAAAAGAAAGACCAGGGCTTTAATCTTAGAATGGATTATATAAAACACTGTTAGCAAATTCTGGCAATGTAAGTACTTTCCCTCTGTCCACCTCAGCTCTGTGCTGAGGAAACTGGCATTTCAGCAGAGTTGCTAAGCATGCAAGCATCTAATTCCTTTTCTCTTTCTTGAGATATTTGACTTCCAGCCTTTCAGAAATGAATTACTTTTGCTACTGAACTCCTTCTGGAGCTCATCAAAAAGCTGGTCACAATCACCTGAAAATAGTGATGCTAGCAAGCTGAAAACTGCTAGCCTTGAGGAGCACCAGGGCTTCTGTAACCCAGGGCCACTGCCTGTCAAGAAAAGCACAACAGCCATCACTGAACCAGCCCCTAGATTTCAGTGCCCTGTAGTAGGGGGAGTAAACTAGTTTGCTAAAGCCACCTCCTCCCTTTGGAAAGACTTACACTAGGGCTACGAGAGCCAAAATACAAAAACACTCCCAGAACAGTTCCTGATGCTTTACCATTTTTGGTGAAGGTGCAGCACACACGGCAACAGGTCTTCAAGAGAGAACCCAGTGCACTCAGACAGCTGGCTGGTCCAGGGATGTGCTGGAGAAGAGAACAGGTATTACCATTTCACAGAGCTTGCAAGTTCTGTAGTCAGACAGAATTTTTAATGGGATAAAGATCATGCTTATGTGATGATAATCTTTAGGAGCTTCTGTCTGTACACAGTTGAAGTTCAGAATTAGCTTCCAGGATAGGCTTACTTGAGAAACTGAAGCTATGCCTAAATAGAACTCTACTGTGTAGATAAGGGCAAAAACCTTCAGTCTCATTTAAATGCAGGGCTTACATTATTGCACTGCTATAGACTGAACTCAACTCCATTCTCACATATTACACCTGTCTGCCTCTCCCACACTCCCCAGGGTGA